CTGAGCACATGGACTGGGGATCCCCTCCGCGGGGCCCCCGCCTGCTCTGGGCCAGCTGTTCCCAGGACTCTTGGTCCTGGCCTGGTCAGTGGAGGGGCATCCTGGGGGCCCCCATGGGGAGGAGACACCATCCCTGCCTCCCTGGCACATCGGCCGCAGGGCTGGTGGGGGAGCAGTCCAACCTCAGCGTGCTCCCACGTGCAGGCAGCCCCGCTCAGGCGCCTCAGACTCCGTGTCTCGTCTTGGCGTTAAGGAGCCCGCCTTCCCCGATCCACGGTGAGCAGGGACACGCGTGAGCTGGGTCGTGGCCGCTCTGGGCCTGACAGCTGTGTGCACAAGCAGAGCCCCTTCCCCCGGACCCTGGCGCACACTCAGACCTAATCTAATTAATTAATTTTAAGAAAGGGAGGAGGGTGGGGAGGAGCAGAGGGAGAGAGAGAATCTCAAGCAGGCTCCACACCCAGCCCGTCGGTCCAGCACGGAGACCGACGTGGGGCTCGATCCCGCAGCCGTGAGATCACGACCTGAGCTGAAATCCAGAGTCGTCCGTCAAGCGACTAAGCCACCCAGGCGCCCCACACTCAGATTTTAGAGGAGGACGTGTTTGGTCGGGGGCGCTTACAGGAGCATGTTGGTGGTTTCTTTTTGAAGAGATCCTTTGGCTTTGGTGTGAGCGGTTGGTGGGGGTTGGAGGAGGAGGTGTGGCTGAGAGGCCTGGTCTGGCTGGCCGACCGGCGCCCAGAACCTGCGGGGATGGGGGTGGGCCTGGGGACGCAGGGTGGGCTGGAGGCGGCTGGCCAGGGCCAAGGGCCGGCCCGGGGTTGTTTCTGTGGGTACCTGCCCCTCACCACACCCAGCTTGGGTGGCTGGCCCTTCCTCCCTGCGTCCTGGGGGCTGCGCAGTGCCTGCCCTTCCTTCTACAAGCCCTCCACGGCCCCTGCTCTGTCCCTGAGGGGCCAAGGCTGGTCCCACCCCGGGGGCATGCACAGCCTGTGTCCAGCTCGCTGGCTCTCTCAGCCTGGGAGCCCACCTGACTTCCCTCGGCAGCTGCTGACCAAGTGAAGCCTTGCCAGGGTCACGGCAAGCCCCACCTGACCATAGGTCACAGGTCCTGGAATTAGGCCCGGGGACCTTGGCATCACCTGACCGCACAGGGTGAGGTGCAGTGGGGGCCGGTGGGGCAGGCCAGAGGCCTTGGAGGTCAGTGGCGAGGGCCTGTCTCCCAGCCCCGGGCACTTTCTGCTCTGCCGTGTCGTCTTCCCTGTGCTGAGCAGCAGCCCCTCGGCCTGGGGAAGGGGCTGTGGGTGAGGCGGCTCCCAGCCCTCTCTGCACCCAGACTGGGGGCTCCACAGCTGGCCTCGGGGTTCTAGGGCCTCGGTCACATGACCAGCCCCGACTTCTGCCAGTGGGACTGTCCCTCAGTCACGGGGTGCGGGTCACTCGGCAGCACGTCTCACACCAGCTTGACATGTGGCACTCACAGGGGGCTGGGGTCACTGCACCCCTCTGTCCGGGCCCCAGGAAGGCGTGGCTCGCGCTCGCACCTTCGTAGATCTTTCAGCGTGCGCTTGGCGGCCCGAGCCTCTCATGGTGCTGCCCTCGGGTCCCCCTGCCAGGCTAGGGCTGCGTCGTGGACACGCGTGGCCTCCTGACCCGTGTCTCTGTTTCTTTGCCAGCCGGGAACCACGAGATTTGAGGCAGCGGGACCTGTCAACAGAATGTGTCGTCCCCCTGCATGTGACCCCGAGGCCACCGAGATGAGCACCACCACCGGGCCCTGGCAAGCGCTGATGTCTCACTAGCCGGGAGCCACCGGGCCACCATGGTGTACTAGCCCCGAAGAGCCGGCCGCAGCCTCAGGTCTGCACAGACCCGGGATTTGCACGGCCGCTGAGTCACCGTGGAGAGGCCAGGGTACCACAAACTTATGGATTTTGACAAGAAAGGAGGGAAAGGGGAGTCGGAGGAGGGTCGGAGAATGTCCAAGGCCGGCGGCCGGACCAGCCATGGCGTCCGGAGCTCAGGGACCAGCTCAGGGGTCCTGATGGTGGGACCCAACTTCCGGGTCGGGAAGAAGATAGGCTGTGGCAACTTCGGGGAGCTCCGGCTAGGTGAGCCCCTTGCTTATATTCCGGGGCACGGGGAGGGGGAGGCCACCCGATGGGGCTGTGGCCACCACTCCCAGATGACTTCCAGATGGTTGGGACTGGGAGTTCAGGTAAGTGTGAGATTCTGCTCCCCAAGGGGGAGGCTTTGCCAGAGGGGTGGACCCCTAGTCTCACCCTGTGTTTTTGACGGACAGTTTTATGGGGGATCTGTGTGCCCCCCCCATACAGGGGGGACCCACGTGGAAGTTTCTGGCTGGTGCGCCCAGGTGCATTTGCAAGGTGAAAATGCGAGCTTAGCTCCTGCTGAGCACTTAGCTGTCAGGAACCGCAGGCAAAGCCTGAGCCCTGCCCAGTGGCGGGTGTCACTGCTTGGGCCCCAACCAGCGGCCCTGAGAGCCTGGGTTGAGATGCCGTCCTGAGCCAGAGGCACACCACAGCCGCTCCGGAGGCTGCAGGACTGGGCTTGGGCCGTGGAGTCTCACTGCCTTTCTGTGGCCTCAGGAAGCCCTGGGCTTGGGCCTTCTGAGCCAGCCGACTGTCAAGGGCTGAGGGTCCGGTCTCCGTGTGCCGGTTGAGGGGGGCATGCAGGGCAGGTGCTGGGCTCGAACAGCGGATGTGTCCGTCTGTCTGTCTGCAACACTGCCAGACTCGCGGGCGAGAGCACAGTGCAGCCGTGTCCAGCCGTCCTGGCACGGCCCCGACCGCCTAGTAGCTGGTTCCGCAGCTGACCCCAGACGGAGCCGCCTTCACCCCCTCCCGCTGCCCTGTTAGGATGTGCGTGTTTGCACACACATGCGCACACAAACCAGGACACGCACACAGGCCGAGGCCTGACCTGCAGCCTGGGGGCTACGGGGGCCTGTCCTTGGGGTGTCAGGATCAGCAGCCTACATGGTACGGCCCTGCATAGACAAATGAGAGTGTGCGGTGGGGCCGTGGGGTGCAGCAGCCTTGGGTTTAAAACAGTTTTAAAATTGAGGTATGTGGTGATTTCTGCCTGGCTTTTGCTCAGCATGATTTTGAGTGTCCCCGGTGTTGCGTGTGTAGGTAGCTGGTCGTCCATCTGTATGTCTGCGCCCCGTTTTCTTCATCTGTTCTCCTGCTCAGGGACATTTTTACCGTTGTGAATAAAACTGTCCTGAGCGTCCCTCTGCAGGTCTTGCCAGACTGATCTCCACAGTGATGGTAACCTTTCTAAACTCCTGTGGGCAGCATCTGAGGGTCCTGCGTGTCCCATGTCCCCATCAGCATTTGGGGTCGTCAGATTTTTCTGTTTTGAGCATGCTCGGGGGTGTCAAGGGGTTTTCATTTGCATTTCCCAATGATTCATGTTCTCCTGTGCATCGTGTGTCTTTTTTCCTGGCGATTTGAAGGTTTTCCTTTTATCTTTGGTTTCAGGTTTTGATTCCTCATTGTTTAAGGGGGATTTCTTTGTGTTTATCCTGCTTGGGATTGATTAAGTTTCATAGATCTGTGTAATAATTTTTCATTAAATTGGAAGAACTTTAGTCATTGTTTCTTCAAATCTTTCCCTGCCTTCGTCTTCGTGTCTTTTGCATCCTCAGACTCCGATTACACATACGTCAAGCGTTTGATGCTTTTCTGCAGGTCCCTCCAGCTTCTTTTGAGTTTTCTTTTAGCCTTTTTTTCCTTCTTTGCTTCAGTCTGGTTAGTTTTTACTCTTTTATAAGTTCGCCCTTCTTTTTCTCTGCTTTGTCTGGTCTATTGTTGGAGCCATTCGGGTGAATTTTTCATTTCATACATGGTATTTCTCACTTCACTGGATTCCCCTGTTTCTCCCTTGAGGTTTATTTATTTTCCCCATCTTGCCCTTTAAATCCTCACACGTCCTTGTGACTGTTTAAAATGCTAAATCTTGGGCGCCTGGGTGGCTCAGTCGTTAAGTGTCTGCCTTCGGCTCAGGTCATGACCCTACGGTCCTGGGATCGAGTCCCACATCGGGCTCCCTGCTCGGCAAGAAGCCTGCTTCTCCCTCTCCCATTCCTCCTGCTTGTGTTACTGCTCTCGCTATCTCTCTCTCTGTCAAATAAATAAATAAAATCTTTAAAAAAAAAAAAAATGCTAAATCTTTGGCACCTTTGACTTTGTTTTTTCTTGCTACTGTCTCGTTTGCCTCCTTTTGCACACGTCTAGTACTGTCTTATTATCTGTTGGAAATTGTGGGTGCCACGTGTGGAATGTCTGCGTTATGCTTTGTCTTGGAGGCTCATCTTGACGTCGTCGGGGTCTGGTGGGCAGCTGAGAGCTGACCTGACTCAAGAGCTGGAGTCACGTCTGTCTCACGCAAGGGCATCCTGGGTTCTCAGCCAAGGGTCGGGGGAGTTCAGGAAGGCCTCCGAGTCTGGATGGCTGCAGCTCCAGCCTTGTGTGGCCCCCAGGATCTTCCTTCTGCTCATAGCCCCTCGGGAGGTGAGACTGCTGACGTTGGTGAGGCCCTCGGAGCCCCAAGCACCTGAACTCCTCCAGCTGTCTGCGCACCCGGCTTCAGACACATGTGGGCATGAGTACACGGGCTCCCTTCAGCTCACGCTGGCCTTCAAGGACTTTGGCTCTTCCTCAACTCACGCTGGCCTTCAAGGACTCCGGCTCTCCCACAACTCCCACGGGCAGTCAGAACGTCAGAGTTTCTTCAACAAGACACAATAAAGTTATCAGTTACCATAAAGGATCAGTTAGAATCATCAGAGTTTAAAACATCTTTTATGAGGGGCGCCTGGGTGGCTCAGTTGGTTGAGTGTCCGACTCTTGGTTTCGGCTCAGGTCGTGACCTCATGGGTCGTGGGATCGAGCCCCACATGGGGCTCTATGCTCCTCGGGGAGTCTGCTGGAGATTCTCTCCGGCCCCTTCCCCCACTCACATGCACGCGCGCGCGCTCTCTTTCTCTCTATGAAATAAATAAACCTTAAAAAAAACACCCATGTATTTATGAGAAAACCTTGTTAGGAGCGTGGACAGGCAAGCCACAGATGGGCAGTGCTCAGCACCATGTGACAAAGCCCTGGTGTTTGCGCCCGTGGAAGGACAGCTCAGTAATAAAAAGACACTCCAATTAAACACGGGCACGAGAGGGGCGGGCGACCGGCTCCATCGGAGGACCGTGTGACTCTTGATCTCGGGGCTGAGAGTTTGAGCCCCATGTCAGCTGTAGAGATGACTTTAAAAAAACACTAAAAACAGGCAAGAGATGTGAAGAGAGACTTCACGAAAGCAGACCGATGAATCGCCAGGGAGCTCAGAAGGCACACCGCCTCATCGGCCACGAGGGAGGGCAGCCACGTGAGTCACACTCCATGTTTGCAGCACAAGCGGCAGACTTGGCGGAGCGGGCCGGCGTGCCTGTAGGAAGTCCGCATCCTAACACCTCCGCGTAGCTCGTAGGAACACCGGGCCGGCGGCGGGCCTGCTGCAGCACGGACAAACCTCCGGTGCGCAGCGCCGTGTGGAAAGAGCCGGGAAGGAGGGGGCCGGGCCGGACTCTGTGCTGGCGACGTGCTCATCGCATGGGGCGCTTCACGTGTGCGCCCTTCACGGGTCAGTGTCTCCCCTCAGCCGCGGGTCCTACTGAACCTAGTCTGTGCTCTTCATTGGTAGGATATGGAGGGTACTGATGTCTGCTGCTTTGAAATGCTCTGATTTTGTTAAAAATAAGGGAGATGAGGGGCACCTTGGGGGCTCCATCGGTGAGGCGTCTGCCTTCGGCTCAGGTCGTGGTCCCGGGGTCCTGGGATCGAGCCCCGCGTCGGGCTCCCGGCTCAGCCGGAAGCTTGCTTCTCCCTCTCCCGCTCCCCCTCTCGCTGTCTCTCTCTCTCCCTCTCCCTGTCAATTAAATAAATAAATAAAATCTTTAGAGAATAAATAAGGGAGATGAGTGGGTGACAGGTGCACAGAGACAGTGGAACGAAGAGCAGGTTGTTTCTGCTGCTGTCATCTAGGGGGTGAGGATGCGGGTCTTCCCCGCAGGGGTTTTCCATTTTCTTATGTTTGAAACTTACATCGTAAGATGTTGAAGGAAAAACCTAAGAGGCAAAACCTGTTTTTTATCAAAGCCCAGGAAGCAGGGCTTCAGGAGAGCTTTCCTGCCCTGCTGCTGAGCGTCCGTCCGTGAAGAGCCTCTTAGCTGAGTTGTCTGCGCAAGTGAACGGAGGTCTGCGGGAAGGCGGGGCCCCTCTGCCCGCCCCTCCCAGACCGCGGCAAGAGACGGGGGCGGAGAGAACGCAGGCTGCGGGAGAGGCGAGCCGGGCTCCTCCCGGACAGCACCGTCGTGGGGTGGGGTCGTGGGTGCGCAGCCGCCTCGGCAGTCTCTCAAGGTGCAGTCGGAAATGAATGTTTTGTTGGAGCAACAGCTGGGAAAGAAAAATGTAAACACACTGCCTGGGTCAGCACGCCCAACCCTGCCAAGTGCCCGCGGAATGAGTGAATACATAGCAGGATGTGCACGCGCTCCCGCCGAGGACGAAAACCTCTGAGAGAAGTTCGCTTGCGCGTGGTGGCCGGGCGGCTGGAGCTCAGCTGTGCCCCCCAGGTTCTCCCGCAGGCCTGCGGGGACCCCTCGGCACGCGGCGTGCTGGGGAAGCTGACCCGCTGGCTCTCGAGCCGCCGCCCCTGGAACCAAGGCCCCGGGATGGCCGAGGCCGCGCCGCAGTCGCCCCCGCCCCCGCCGGCGCTGCAGCCACGCAGACAGCTGCGAGCACGCCCGGGATGGGGTGGTGACTGGGGGGAGGGGCTCACAGGCGCGGGAGCCCTGGCCTCCGCCTGCGGGGTGGGACGCAGCGGGGTCTCCGCCGCCGCGTTGGAGGTGGGGAGAGTAAGCTGAGGCCTCTTCCCACAGTGGATCCTGCTTGAGGCCAGCGGGGCAGACCGTGTGGCATCTTGGAGGACCAGGGGCCCCATGTGGAGCCACATTCATGGCCCTTGGGGTCCCGTGAGGCCAGGCCGAGGCCATGGGCCAGGATCTCTACTGGAGACGGGGACACAGCTGTCCACGGTGCTGTGCCCGGTAACCCCCAGAGGGTTGGGGGGCAGGGGCAAGCGCTTGGGCTTGAGGGGCTAGGGCAGCCCTCTGTTACGCAGCAGGTCACCGGACCGCAAAGCCACGTGGGTGCTGGGTGTCCACACACAGGGCACGGAGACCCTTCTCAGAAGCCCTGAGCCACGGGGCTGGGGCCGTCTCACCGTAAGTCCCGTCTGTGGGGCTCTAGCAGGTGAAGTCTGGGCTGCGGCAGGTTCCGGAACTCGTGTGTTTTCAGTTCTCTGCGGTTGGGCGTGTGGGCTCTTTCTGTGTGGGTTCCTGGAGGTCCTGCTGGTCAGCGATGGGCCTGGGAAGACCCTGCCCCGGCTCGCTCTTCCCTGTGAGGCACACAGATTCCTGGCCCCAGGTGTGGTGAGCTCTGGTGCCCTGGGAAGCCAGCCAGGGGCTCTCTGCCCACCAGGTGCCACTGAGCAGTGTCTCAGTGGGCCACAGGTTCCGGCAAGGGGCAGGGCCCTGAGGCCTGTTCCTTTCTGCACCACAAGGGACCTTCCATGCTGATGGCCGGTGTGGAGTGCCTTGGGTGAGTCATCGCAAGACAGGACCTGGACAGGCCTCTCCATGCGGCTTCTTGCCAGGGGGCCGTGCTCCGCGGGGTCGGGGTCTGCTGGTGGGTCAGACAGGAGGAGATGAGCCAGGGGCAGGGGGTGTGGCCTGCTCTGGGGCTGGTACTAGGTAGAGGCAGAGCAGGTGCTGGAGTATAGAGTTACCGGAGAGAAGGGGCGGGGGGTGTCCCGGGGAGCCAGGAAGGGCTGCTGCAGGCCAGATGACGTAGGCGGAGGGGAACACCAGCCTCTGCTGCTGCGCTGTGGGAGCTGAAGAGGGGCCTCGGGGTCATCGTGGGTCTGTTTTCTCTCTTTTAGATGGGAGAAATTGGCACGAGTTGGTGTACTGGTGGGAAGGATCCCCTAGAGAGGAGTTGGGAGCAGCCTCCTTGACTGGGCAGGCCTGAGTGGGGGGGGCAGGGCTGGCTGCAGGGGGGCTGGAAGATGAGGGTGTGGGGCAGATGGGGGCCACCTGCGGCGGGGCAGGGGGCTTTGTAGGCATTCTTATCACTCACAGGCCATGGCCGGGCTCAAGGGGGTCTGCTAGGGAATAGGAGGTGGCCCTGGAGGCGTGGGTCAGGTGGGGTCTCCCCCATGCCGGGGGCCCTGCCGCGCTGACGCACCTCTCTCCCACAGGGAAGAATCTCTATACAAATGAATACGTAGCTATTAAACTGGTGAGTTCAGGCCTTCCCTCCCACAGCCCAGTGGGGCCTCAGGGGTCCTGAGCTCAGACTGGCCCGGTGGGTCTCCTGGGGGGCGGGGTGCACGCACGGTGGGTCCCCTGACCACGTGTCCACCTGCCCTTCCCAGGAGCCCATCAAGTCCCGGGCACCTCAACTGCACCTGGAGTACCGCTTCTACAAGCAGCTCAGCGCCGCAGGTACCTGGGCCCCGCGCAGTGGGGGCGCAGTGGGGGCCGCGAGGGCGCCACCGGGTCCCACACGAGTCTGGGTGTCGCCCCTGCAGAGGGCATCCCTCAGGTCTACTACTTCGGCCCGTGTGGGAAGTACAATGCCATGGTGCTGGAGCTGCTGGGGCCTAGCCTGGAGGACCTGTTTGACCTGTGTGACCGCACATTCACGCTCAAGACGGTGCTCATGATCGCCATCCAGCTGGTACGGCTGGGGCTGCTGGGGAGAGGCGGG